TTGTAATAGTGGAAGTTATAGTAGTGTTTTTAGTAGTAATAATAGTAGTGGTTGTAATAGTACTAGTAATAATACTAGTATTAATAGTAGTAGTAATAATAGTAGTATTAGTTGTATTTATAATAGTTGTAGTAGTAGTAGTAATAATAATCTTTGTATGATTTGTAGTAATAGTATTTGTAGTAGAAGTTGTAGTTATATTATTTCTAGAATTTTTAGTAGTACTAGTATTAGTATTAATAGTAGATAATTATTATTAATGTAAGTAAGAGTAGTATTAATTATATTGTTAGCAGTTGTAGAAGTAGTTGTAGTAGTACTTCTAGTAGTAGTAATAACTCTAGTTGTACTTAAAGTAGCAATATTATCAGTAGTATTAATTGTAGTTTTTCTTGTAATAGTAGTAGTGTTGATTGTAATTATATTGGTAGTATTCATAGTATTAGTAATATAAGCATTTGTTGTAGTTGTAGTAATATCAGTAGTAATTTTATTAGAAGCACTAGTGGTAGTAGTAGTATTAGTAGTATTTCTAGTGGTAGCATTATTGCTAATAGTATTACTAGTAGTAGTATTAGTAATACTAGTAATATTTACAGTAGAAATAGTAATAGTAGTAATATTAGTGTTCGTATTGGTAGTCGTAGTAGTAGTATTAGTAGTAGTAGTAGTAGTGTTAGTATTAGAGATATCACTAATATTAGAAAAAGTATTTGTAGTAATAGTTTTGAAAGTAGTACTAATAGTACTAGTTGTATTTATAGTAAGAACAGATTTATTAATATTATTTCTAGTAGTAATAGTAATAGTATTCGTATAAGTAGCAGTGATAGTGGTATTTGTAGAATTAGTACTAAGACTAGTAGTAGTAATAGTATAAGCAGTAATAAAATTTGTAGTAGTAGTAGTAGTAGTAGTAATAACAGCAGCAGTAATGATACTATTTGTAGTATTACTTGTAACAGTAGAAATAATAAAATTTGTACTGGTAGAGGTAGTTGTAGAAGTAGTATTAAAATATCTACTAGTAGTAGTATTAGTAGTAGTATAAGTAGTAGCAGTATTAGTAGTAGTATTAGTAGTAGTAGTAACAGTAGTAGTAATGGTATTATCAGCAGTAGTAGTGGTGGTATTAGAAGTAGGAGGAGGAGTAGTAGTAGTACTATTTCTAGCAGTAGTAGTAGTGTCAGTATTATTTGTAGTAGTAGTAGTAGTAATAGTAATAGTAGTAACAGCAGTAGAAGTAGAAGTATTGGTATTAGAACTAGTATTTGTAGTAATAATTGTAGTAATACTAGTACTACTTCTACTACTGGTAGTAGTAGTAGTAATTATATTAGTATAAGTAGTAATAATAGTAGTATTAATAATAGTTGTTTTAGTAGCAGTAGTAATAGAATTAGTAGTTGTGGTGTTAGTAGAAATAGTAGTGGTATTATTTGTTGTAGTAGTAGAAGTCGTACTAGTTATCGTAGTAGTATTTCTAGAATTCGTGGTAATGTTGTATTAGTTGTTGTATTTGTAGCAGTTGCAGTAGTATTATTAGTATTAGTAGAAGTAGTTGTTGTGGAGTTATTTGTAGTACCTGTAGCTCTTATAGGGTTGCTGCCGGTCCCAAGCCCGGGTAAAGGAGGAGGGTTGGGCATGGGGTTAGCGTCCCCATCCCGTAGAAAACTAACTCGCTAAAAAAACGCTTACCAGAAAAAATAATCCAAACCATTTTAACTCTGCCCTGGGAGTTAGAAGGTCTTCATTTAGAAGAATTATGACGCTTCATGGTGAAAGCCGAGTTCCTTCGGAAGCCACGAGGCCGATGCCCCTTCTAACAACCAGAGCAAAAATTTTTATAGGTACATGGAACGTTCGAACAATGTGGGAAACCGGGAAGACCAGTCAAATATCAATGGAAATGAGGAGATACAACTTAGCAGTACTGGGAATCAGCGAAACCCACTGGACCCAAGCTGGACAGAAAAGGCTAGCTACGGGAGAGATGCTGCTATACTCCGTTCACGAAGAGGACAATGCTCCACACACTCAGGGAGTCGCTCTTATGCTGTCCAAAGTAGCACGAAATGCACTTGTAGGATGGGAATCTCACGGATCCAGAATCATCAAAGCATCATTCAAAACAAAGAAGGAGGGGATCTTAATGAATATTATCCAATGTTATGCACCCACCAATGATAGCAACGACGACATTAAAGATCAATTCTACGAGCGGCTGCAGTCAGTGATAGAGAAATGCCCAAGAAAGGACCTCACCATTCTAATGGGAGATCTAAATGCCAAAGTCAGAATAGACAACACTGGATATGAAGATATTATGGGACGACATGGACTGGGAGAAAGAAACGAAAATGGAGAAAGATTTGCAAATCTGTGTGCATTCAACAAATTGGTCATAGGAGGCACAATATTTCCACACAAACGTATACACAAGGCTACATGGATCTCACCGGACCACACTACAGAGAACCAAATAGATCATATTTGCATCAACAAAAAATTCCGAAGGACAATGGAAGATGTGAGAACCAGGAGAGGTGCTGACGTAGCTTCAGATACCACACCACCTAGTTGTGGCCAATTAAAAACTGAAGCTAAACAGGAACTAGACAAGTGGACAAACTGCACTACAAAGGTTCAATACAGCCTTCCTTTGAGATACTGACAAACTCAATGAATTCAAGATAGCTCTCAACAATAGGTTTCAAGCCTTACGAGATCAACTGAAAGAAGAAGAAACTAGTATGGAGGACAACTGGAAAGGTATCGTGGAAGCATTAACTTCAACGTGTCAAGAGGTTCTGGGTCTAAAGAAATACCATCATAAGGAATGGATCTCTACAGAAACACTGGACAAGATCAAAGAAAGGAAGAACAAGAAGGCAGCAATAAACAACAGCCGAACACGAGCAGAGAAAGTCCAAGCACAAGCTGAATACATAGAAGCAAACAAACAAGTGAAGAGGAGCATTAGAGCCGACAAGAAGAAATACGTGGAAGAACTAGCAACGACGGCAGAAAAAGCTGCTAGAGAAGGAAATATGAAACAGCTTTACGATACAACGAAGAAACTATCAGGGAAATACAGTAAACCAGAGAGGCCGGTCAAAGACAAAGAAGGCAAGCCAATCACCGAAATTCAACAACAGCGTAACAGATGGGTAGAATACTTCGAGGAACTCCTGAATAGGCCGGCTCCAATGAATCCTCCGGACATCGAAGCAGCACACACAGATCTTCCTATAGATGTCAACCCACCAACGACGGAAGAAATTAGAATGGCCGTCAGACAAATCAAGAACGGGAAAGCAGCAGGACCCGACAACATACCAGCTGAAGCACTGAAATCAGACATCGAAACAACCACAAGCATGCTTTATCTTCTATTCAAAAAGATTTGGGAGGAGGAACAAGTGCCGATGGACTGGAAAGAAGGACACCTCGTCAAGATTCCAAAGAAAGGAGATCTGAGCAAATGTGAAAACTACAGAGGCATAACACTACTGTCAATACCAGGGAAAGTCTTCAACAGATTGTTGCTGAACCGGATGAAGGATGCAGTAGACGCTCAACTTCGAGATCAACAAGCTGGATTCCGTAAGGATCGGTCGTGCACAGACCGAATTGCAACACTACGGATCATCGTCGAACAATCAGTTGAGTGGAACTCGTCACTATACATCAACTTCATTGATTATGAAAAGGCATTCGACAGTGTAGATAGGAAGACATTATGGAAACTTCTTCGACACTACGGAGTTCCTGAGAAGATTGTCAATATTATCCGGAACTCATACGACGGACTAGAATGCAAAGTAGTGCATGGAGGACAGCTGACAGATGCATTCCAAGTAAGGACCGGAGTCAGACAAGGCTGTTTACTCTCTCCCTACCTCTTTCTTCTGGTGGTCGACTGGATTATGAAGACCTCAACATCTGAAGGAAAACATGGAATACAATGGACAGCTCAGAATCAATTAGACGATTTGGACTTCGCAGATGACCTAGCCCTCCTATCACGTACACACGAACAGATGCAGATGAAGACAGCCAGTGTAGCAGCAGTCTCTGCATCAGTAGGCCTCAGCATACACAAAGGGAAAACTAAGGTCCTCAAATTCAAAGCGGAGAACAGCAATCCAATCACACTTGATGGCGAAACTCTGGAAGATGTAGAATCCTTCACATACCTGGGAAGCATCATCGATGAACAAGGAGGCTCAGATGCAGATGTAAAGGCGAGGATTGGCAAAGCAAGGGTCGCATTCCTACAATTGAAGAACATATGGAACTCAAAACAACTTTCAACCAATATCAAAGTGAGAATCTTCAATACGAACGTCAAGGCAGTTCTACTGTATGGAGCTGAAACTTGGAGAACTACTACAACCACAATCAAGAAGATACAAGTATTTATAAATAGTTGTCTACGCAAGATACTCAACATCCATTGGCCGGATACCATCAGCAATAGCCTTCTGTGGGAGAGAACAAACCAACTTCCAGCTGAAGAAGAAATTAGAAAAAGACGATGGAAATGGATAGGACATGCATTACGCAAATCGTCAAACTGCATCACGAGGCAAGCCCTAACTTGGAATCCTGAAGGGAAGCGGAAAAGAGGAAGGCCAAAGAACACATTACGTCAGATAATAGAAGCAGATATGAAAAGGATGAATTAGAACTGGACGGAGCTAGAAAGGATTGCCCAGGACAGGGTTGGATGGAGAATGCTGGTGGGCGGCCTATGCTCCTTCACGAGGAGTAACAGGCGTAAGTAAGTAAGTAAGTAACCAGTAAGATTAGTAGTAGTATTATTAGTAGTAATAGCAATAGTAACAGTAGTAGTAATAGTAGTAGTTTTGTAGTAGTAATAATATTTTTAGTCGCAGTAGTATTAGTAGTAGTAATAGTATTTGTAGCAGTAGTAGTATTAGTAGTAATGCTAGTAGTTTTAGTAGTTGTAGTATTAATATCTGTAGTATTGATAATTATATTGTAGTAGTAGTATTTGTAGTATTTCCAGTAGTGATTGTAGTATTATTATTAGTAGTAGTTTTACCAGTATTTGTAGCAGTATTATTAGTAGTCGTGGTCGTACTAGTAGCACTAGTAATAAGATTAGTATTTCTATTATTAGTACTTGTACTTGTTGTTGTAGTACAAGTAGTAGTAATATAAATTCTGGTAGTAGTAGTAGTAGTAGTAGTAGTAGTAGTAGTAGTAGTGGTAGTAGTAGTAGTAGTAGTAGTAGTAGTAGTAGTAGTAGTAGTAGTAGTAGTAGTAGTAGTAGTAGTAGTAGTAGTAGTAGTAGTAGTAGTAGTAGTAGTAGGATTTCTAGTAGTACAAGCAGTAACATTTAAGGTAGTAGTATTTTTAGGAGTAGTAGTCCTAGTATTAGTAGTAGTACTAGTAATAGCACTAGTAGCATTTCTAGTACTAGTAGTAATATTAGTAGTAGTAGTAGTAGTAGTAGTAGTAGTAGTAGTGGTAGTAGTAGTAGTAGGAGTATATATATTAGTATTATTTTTAGTAATAGTTTTATTAGTAGTAATAGTAGTAATACTTATAGTAATACTAGTAGTAATATTTTTGGTAGTAATATTAGTAGTATTAGTATTAGTATTAATAATAGTTTTGTTTTAGCAGTATTATTAGTAGTGTTAACTCCGCCTTGATGTGTGAAGCACATTGGACACAAGTTGGATAACAACGACTAACTACAGGAGAGCTCCTGTTGTACTCCGGCCATGAAGAAGAAAATGCACCACATACACAAGGTGTTGCATTGATGCTGTCCAAACAAGCGCAAAATGCACTTATAGGATGGGAATCCCATGGACCAAGGATCATCAAAGCCTCCTTCAAAAGAAAGAAAGAGGGCATTTCAATGAACATCATCCAATGCTATGCGCCTACCAACGACTACAATGAAGACGCTAAGGATCAATTCTACAATAGGCTGCAGTCAATCGTCGAGAAGTGCCCAACAAAGGACCTGACCATTCTGATGGGAGATTTCAACGCCAAGGTTGGAACGGACAACACTGGATATGAAGACATCATGGGAGGACACGGACTGGGAGAAAGGAACGAAAATGGTGAGAGATTTGCAAATCTATGTGCCTTCAATAAGCTGGTCATAGGTGGCACCATATTCCCACATAAACGCATACACAAAACCACATGGACTTCACCGGATCACTCTACACAAATAAATAATAGTAGTATTTGTAGTATTAGTATTAGCAGTAGTAGTATTTGCTGTAATAGTATTAATAATATTAGTAATATTAGTATTAGTAGTAGTATTAGTATTTTTAGTAGCAGCACTAATAGTAATCACAGGATTAGTAGTTGTAGTAGTGTTATTAGTAGTAAAATTGTTTGAAGTAGTAGCAGTAATAGTAGTAATACTAGTAGTATTTGGAGCAGTAATGGTAATAGCATTAATAATATTAGTAGTATTTGTTGTAGGAATAATTGTATTTGTATTAAAAGTAGTATTTTTAGTAGTAGTATTAGTTGTTGTAGTAATATTATTAATATTTTTAATAGTATTAATAGCAGTATTTTTGGTTGTAATATTATTACTAGGAGTAGTAATAGAAGTAGCAGAAATATAATTTGTATGAGAAGTGGTAGTACTAGCAGTAATAGTAGTATTTGTACTAGTAATAGTAGTAGTAGTAGTATTTGTAGTAATAGTAGTAGTCTTTGTTGTAGTCTTAGTAGCATTATTATTTGAAATATTTGTAGTATTAGTAGTAGTAGTAGTTTCATTATATTAATTAATAGTAGTAGTAATATTAGTAGTATTTTTAGCAGTTGCAGTAATAAAATTTGGAGAAGAAATATTAGTAGTAGTATTTCTAGAATTAGTAGTAGTAGTAGTAGTACTAGTAGTAGAATTAGAAATGGTAGTAGTGTTTTAGTATTAGTAGTATTTGTAATAAGAGTAATAGTAGTAGTAGTAGTCGTTGTAGTTTTAGTAATTGTATGAGTATTATTTTTATTAGTGGAATTTGTCGTAGCAATAGTAGTAGTTTTAGTAGTAGTGTTTGTAGTAGTATTAGTAATAGTAATAAATTTAGTAGGATTATGAAAATTTGCATTACTAGGAATAGTATTCAAAGTAGTAGCATTTGTAGTAGTCGATGTAATAGTAGTAGTCGTAACAGATGTAGTAGTAGTAGTAGTAGTAGTAGTAGTAGTAGTAGTAGTAGTAGTAGTAGTAGTAGTAGTAGTAGTAGTAATAGTAATTGATGTTGTAGCAGTAGTAATAATATTATTTGTAGTAGATGTAGTAGTAGTAGTATTTCTAGAATTTGTAGTGGTAATAGCAGTAATATTAATAGTAGAGGTAGTAATAGTAGTAGTGTTATTAGTAGTGGTTTTCATTGTTGTCTTAGCAGTAGTAGTAGTTGTTGTAATATAAGTATTAGTAATAGTATTAGTAGTATTTGTAATAGTAACAATAGTATTTGTATTAGAAGTATTAATAGTAGTATTTCTAGAAATATTTATACCAACAATAATAGTAGTAATAGTAGAAGTTTTATTATTAGTGTTAGTAGCATTAGTACTAATTATATTAGCAGCAGTAATAATAGTAATAGTAGTAGTATTTGTAGCAGTAGTAGTAATATTAGTAGTAATATTAGTAGTATTTTTATTAGCATTAATTGAAGTATTATTACTAGTACTAATTTTAGTAGTAGGAGTTGTAGTAATATTAAGTGTAATAATATCACTATTATTTGTAGTTGTGGGATTAGTAGCATTTGCGGAGTATTAGTATTCGTAGTAGTAATAATAGTAGTAGCAGAAGTAGTATTTGTATTAGAAGTAGTAATACTAGTATTAATAGTAGTATTCCTAGTAGTAGTAATAATAATATTATTAGTAATATTGGTAGTATTTATAGTACTAGGAATAATAGTATTGGGAGAAGAAATATTGGTAGTAGTACTTGAAGAAATAGCAGTAGTATTAGTAGTAGTAGAAATAGAAATATTATTAATGTTTTTAGTAATAGTCCTATTTGTAGTAATAGGAGTAGTAGTAGTTGTTGTATTTGTAGTGTTTGTAGTAGTATTCTTGGTAGTCTTAGTATTTGTACTAGCAGTAGTAGTAGTAGTAGTATAAGTAGTAGTATTGGTAGTATTATTAGTAGTACTATTAGTAGTAATATTATCAGTATTTTGAGTATTTGTATTACTGGTAGTGGTAGTAGAAGTAGTAGTATTGTAGTCGAAATTTTAATAGTAAGAGTAGTAGTAGTATTAAGAGTATTAAAATAATCGGTAGTAGTAGTACTAATAGTATTTGTAGTGGAAGTAGTAATATTTCCAGAATTTATAGTAGTAGTAATGTGGTATTAATAGTAGAAATAGTAGTAGTAGTAGTAGTAGTAATAGTATAAGAAGTAGTAGTATTAGTAGTAGTAGCGGTAGTAGTAGTAGTAGCAGTATTAGTAGTATAAATAGTAGAATTATTATTAATATTATTATTAGTAGTAGTAGTAATGTTGGTAGTATTAGTAGTAGTATTAGTAGTGGTAGCTGTCATAGTATCAATACTTTAAGCCTTATTATTATTAGCAATAGAAGTAATAATAGAAGTATAAATAGTGCTAGTAGTAGTACTAGACGCTGTAGTACTAGTAGTATTAGTCGTTGTAGTAGTAATGATAGTAGCTGTAGTATTAATAGGAGAAGTATTGATAATAGTAGTAGTAGTATATGTATTAGTATTCGTAAAAGTAATATTTATAGTAGTACAAGTTATATTGGTAGTATGTTATTGCAGTAGTAGTAGTCATTGTAATAGATGTATTATTACTGGTATTTTTAGAAGTAATAATAATACTAGTGATAAAAGTAATAGAAGTAGTACTAAAGTTTGTAGTAGTAATAATAATAGCCATAGTCATATTAGTATTTGTAGCAGTAGTCTTCATAGTAGTAATAATAGAAGTAGTCCCAGTAGTATTTGTAGTCGAAATATTAGTAAAAATTAGTAGTATTTCTAATATTAGTAGTAGGATTTTATAATAACTAGTAGTAGTGGTAGTAGTAGTAGTAGTAGTAATAGTAGTAGGAATATTAGTAGTATTTGTAGTAGTAGTTGTTGTACTATTAGTAGTAATGGGAATCGTAGTAGTAGGAGTAGTATTTGAATTCGTTTTAGTAGTAATAATAGTATTACTTGTAGTAGCAATAATATTAGGAGTGATATTAGTTGTATTCATAGTAGTAGTAGTAGTATTATTTATACAGGTAAAAGTAATATTATTAGTAGTAATAATAATAGTAGTAGTAGTAGTATTTTTATTAGAACTAGTAGTAGTAGTAATAATAGTAGTATTTCTGGTAGTAGTAGTAGTAGTTTTAATATTAATAATATTATTTATATTAGTAGTAGTAGTACTTGCATCAGTATTATTATTAGTAGTAGTAGTAGTAATAGTAGTAGTACTAGTTGTAATTTTAGTAGTAGTATTAGTAGTATTAGGAGTTCTTGTAGTAGTAATTTTAAAATTATTTTTATTAGAAGTCGTATTAGTAGTATATGTAGAATTAGTAGAAGTCGTAGAAGTTGTGGCATTAGAAGTTTTAGTAGTGTGTGTAATATTAGTATTCTTTGTAGCAGTAGTAGTATTTGTAGTACCTATAGTAGATTTTGTATTATTATTATTAATAATAATGGGAATATTAGCAGTATTTGTAGTTGTACTAGTAATAACACGATTCGTATTATCATTTGCAGTATTACTTGTAATAAAATTAGTAGTAATATTAGTATTACTAATATTATTTTTAGCAATAGTAGTAGTGGTATATGTAGTGATCATTGTTATAGGAATAGTAGTAGTGATAATAGTCAAAATTTTAGTAGTAAAAGTAGTAGTAGTATTAATGGTATTAAAATTATTTGTAGTAGTAGTATTGATAGTATTTGAATTAGAAGTAATAGTATTAATATTTGTAGAAGTAGTAGTAGTCGTAGTTGTAGAAGTAGTAGAAGTAACAGTAATGTTTTTTTTTCGTAGTAGTACAAGTATCTGTAATACAAGAAGTAGTATTCGTTGTAGTAGTGGTGGTAGTAGCAGTAGTAGTGGTAGTATATGCAGTAGTAGTAATATAAGTAGTATTTTTAGTAGAAGTAGTCGTAATAGTATTGTTAATATTAGTATTATTATTAGTAGGAATAGTACTAGCAGTAGAAGTAGTATTTGTAGTAGTAGTAGTATAGTAGAAGTTGTAATGCTAATAGTAGTATTATTATATGTAGTAGTAATATTAATAGTAAAATAGTAGTAGTAATAATAGTATTATTTGTATTAGTAGTATTATTTCTAGTAGTAGTAGTAGTAGTAGTAGTAGTAGTAGTAGTAGTAGTAGTAGTAGTAGTAGTAGTAGTAGTGGCAGTAATAGTAGTAGTAGTAGTAGTAGTAGTGTTTGTAGTAATAGTATTATTTGTAATAGTAGTAGTATTATTTGTACTTATAGTCGGATTTGTACTAGTAGTAATGATAATAGTAGTAGTAATTGTAGAATTTCTAGTAGCAGTTG